AAGGATTCTGTTGATATAAAGTTAATAAAGTAGTCTTCAAGCTGGGGTAATAAATAATACTGTGTCACCATGAACCAGGGCTAAAACAGGGTTGGTGTAGTTTTTCACACCTTGTCATAGACATAATATTATACATGTATTGTGTCCTAGATCACACACTCTGATGTATTTCCTGTTCACTACGGAGCGTGCCCTTTGACTCAATTTGAGAAAGATGGAGGTAAAAATATATAGAGTATGTGCCTGGCGTGTGTGTGTGTGTGTGTGTGTGTGTGTGTGTGTGTGTGTGTGTGTGTGTGTGTGTATGTGTGTGTGTGTGTGTGTGTGTTTGTTTGTGTACGGAGAGGGGGGAGGGGGGAGCTCGTACTCAGCTGTAGTGAGACTGGTGTTTTGCTCTTCATCATTTAGGCCAGGCTCAGCCTATGATGTGCACGCTCCGAAACAAAGTTTCCCCAGGAAGCGAAGAGTGGCGGCCATGACAGTGCGTGATCTAGAAGTACATGTCTATGCACCTCATATAAAAAAGAACCCCCCCCCAAAAAAAACAACAACAACAAGCAATTAACCCCCCCCCCAAAGAAAAACAAAAAACAAAACAAAAAACAAAGCAAAACAAACAACAAACAACAAAACAACAAACAAACAACAAACTGATCGTTTTCATAGGCCAGGATTGTGAAGCGGATCGATATACGCCATGTAATTGCAACGTTTATTTTAGTCTATACATACATGTAAAAGCTTTTGGTGTTTCGTCACAGCTTTACGCATTTAGAACACACAAGGGAGAAGAAAGGGGGCTTTCGTGGCCTAGAAGTTAAGGTGTTTTGCCTCTTATTCAAAGGTCCCGGGTTCGAATCCGGGTAGCTACCGAAAAAATGTTCTTCTCTAAAATAGTCTCCTTTCACCTCCTTTCCTTCTCTCTAGCAATATTCTGACGTCTGCTTTCGTCTTCTCTTTCTGCCTCCATCCCCTCACCCTCCTTTGCCCCCTCCTTTGGGCTCCTGACTCTTTCTGCAGCCTTTCCACTGCTACTCCTTGGCTCCTTCTTACTGCTGTCTTTCAGCCACACACCTGATTTTCAGATAGGAAAGATCTACACCTAGCCTTCTCGGAATGGGGCCAAAAATCTCGGAGGGCCCGTGTGCAAGTTGCGCACGTTAATGATCCTTTGGTGGTCTAAAATCGTTAAGAGTAGGCTTCGGCCGGCACCCGGGCAAAATTCAAAATTTCCTACCAACTGAAAAGGTTTCATGTGTCCCGCGCGCTCATAATATGACCTTATGCCGTTGCGAGCGCCGTAAAACACTTACAACCCCCCCCCCCAACAAAAACAAAGGGAGAAGGGAGATCTGACAGACCAGAGGATATTATTATCGACTGCGGTGCTAGCGACCCTTGATGGAAGACACAAAATTGTGTTATATGAATCATAGTTTTTGTTTTTGTTTGTTTATTTGTTTGTTTGTTTGTTTGTTTGTTTGTTTGTTTGTTTGTTTGTTTTGTTTTGTTTGTAGTGGGTGTTTTTTTTAGAGTGTTCATGGTTTGACATGCATTTGCTTGGGTCATCATATCGGAGATGGCCAATTAAGAGGATGCCTCACCCAATGAGGAAAGTGAATAAGTTGAAAAGGGTGTTACAACTATGCAACATCGATTGCAAACATACACTAAGGACCAAATAACAAAATAGCTCTTTTCTTTTGCTCGTTATCTTGTCCAGATAACAGGTCGTAGTAAAAAGCACTACGCTTGCTTGTTTGTTTGTTTGCTTGTTTATTTGTTTGTTTGTTTTTCTATTTGTTTGTTCGTTTGTCTGTTTTTGCGTTAATCAGCAAGTCCGCTTTTACTGTTAACACTTTTTTCTTCGGCAGCCCCAACTGTAGTGAATTTTCCTGTTATGAAACGTTAACCAAGCATATCAATATAAGATGATTAAGTTAAACATTTCTTGGATCAATCTACCTTTTTTTTAAACTTCAGCAAAAACACAAGGTTCAGATTCCGTAAATAATTATCAGATTAATCATCAAGTTATCTTTAAGAAGTGAATAAAAAAATGAAATTCTTTTACCAACCCCTCCCCCCAGAAAAACAACAATTAAAAAACCCCCCAAAACAAATCCGCTACAGCTTAACTTATGTAAACGATCTGCGTACAAATAAAATGTTGAGAGGTAGAAAGAGGGATTAGTAACGACCGTGACCCCCGAAACCATAAAACTTTTTTATCATCCATGGCTAAGACACATAGAAAAACAGAACATGCTAACTTTTTGCCGTGCGTTGTGTCAGGTAATCTCTTGTTTCTTAAGGAATTCTTTAGGGAACACCGTAGTACTTTGCCCTAACCAGCCATGTGAGACGGTGAGAGGGGACATCGAGAACGAGGCGGGGGAGGG